GGGTAAGCAGTTTGCAGGTAGTGGATGGGGGCAAGAGGAAGAAGGGAGAGAGAAACTAGGCATCATATCTTGCCCAGGGAAGGTAAGTGATCCAGCTGCCTGTGCCTTTGTTTTGCTGAGTGTTTGTTCAGTGGGCTGTGTGTGTTTGGGGCATGTGCTCTGAGAAGGTGGGAGCAATTGCTGACTGTTGAGTGATTGCTGCCTGGGCCTGACAGAAGCCCTAACAAGAAGACAGAGCCAGTCCAGGCCCAGCAGGGTATAAAAGGAGACTCAAGAGATGACCAGTCAGTTCATAGGTCAGTTCCCCAGCCAGTTTGTGGACCCTCCCCAACTTTTTTGAGGGGCAAGTCTTTCAAGCTTTGTGCGAGGAAGCAGGAAAAAAGGAACCCTTTGGGGCCAATGAGAAATAAACAGGCCAGTTCCAGGTGAGTTTGCTAGGGAAGGTCTGATTGGAAGAACAGTATGAGAGAAGGCAGATTAAGAGGCCCAGGGAAATGGCTAGAGGACGCTGCAGTGCCAGAGCCGCTGCCACTGCCTCTGCTTGCACCTGTGATGCTTCTGTCCAGGCAGGACAGCTCACCATCAATGTTTCCACCCAGATCCAGGTTTGACACCTTGGGGGCTGTGGCTTGCAGGTTCCCTCCAGCAATGGCCAGGTTGGGAAATGCCTGCAGTGTGAGCAGTGCCTCCTGGTGGTGTTTCTCAGGGAACAGGCAAGAGAACTACAGGAAGATGTGGTGAGGCTCCGAAGCATCCTCCGCCATGAGAAGTTCATCAGTTTGATGCTGGAGGAGACCTCTGGGACTGTGAAGGAAGTTGTTCATCTGGAGAACGGATATGCAACCCTAGCAGCAGAGAGGGAGGAGCATGTTCCGTTGGTGGAGGAAGACAGGCCAGGCCTCATCAAGGTGAGAAGGAGTAAGACTACCACCACCAAGAAGCAACAGGTGGTGGTGGTGGTTGGAGACTCCCTTTTGCGGGGGATGAAGGGAACTATCTGCTGTTATCTTGGGAGGTCTGCTGATTGCCTGGAGCCCAGATCCAAGATGTCAGGGAAGGACTACTGAGGCTCACCTGGCACTCTGACTCCTACCCCAAGTGGGCACCAATGATACTGCTGGGGGAGACCCTGAGCACATCAAAAGTGACTACAGGGTGCAAGGGTGAGGGGGTCTGGGGCTCAGGCTGTGTTCTCAGCGATCCTTCTGGTCAAGGGAAAGGGCCTGGGAAGGAGCAGGTGCATCCTGCAGATCAACACCTAGCTGTGCAGCTGGTATCACCAGCAGGGCTTTAGCTTCTTCGACCATGGGATGTTCTTCCAAGAAGAAGGACTTCTGGGAAGAGATGGGATCCACCTGATGAAGAGAGGGAATGGCATCTTTGCAGATAGGCTTGCTAACCTAGTGAGGATAGCTTTAAACTAGGTTTGCTGGGGGATGGAAACCAAAGCCCTGAGGTAAGTAGAGAAGTGAGAGACCTGGAGGAAGAACAAGCAGGAGGGGGCAACAAGGAAGGTGTTCTCCTACTTCCTGAGAAATCAAGGCAATAAACTAGTTACCTCACGCACCTGTACACAAATGCATAGAACCTGGGAAACAAGGAGGAAAAATTGGAAGTTCTTGCACAGTCACAGAACTATGATGTGATTGGAATAAACAGAGAATTGGTGGAATAACTCACATGGCTCGAGTACTGCCATGGATAAGTACAAACTGTTCAGGAAGGACAGGCAGAGGCAGGGAAGAAAAGGAGGAGTTGCACTTTATGTAAAAGAGCCATATGATTGCTCAGAGCTCCAGTATGAAGCTGAAGATAGGCCTGTTGAGAGTCTTTGGGTCAGAGGAAAAAGCAACAAGGATGATGTTGTGGTGGAGGTCTGCTATAGACCAGAGACCAGGAGGAAGAGGGCTCTTTCTTCAAACAGCTAGTGGAAGTTTCCCAGTCACAGGCCCTGGTTCTTATAGGGGATTTCAGTCACCCCGATGTCTGCTGGGAGGGCAATACACAAGTGCAATGGCAATTCAGGAAGTTTTTGGAGAGTACTGGGGACAACTTCCTGGCCATTAGGGGCCATGATCTTGACCTGCTGCTCACAAACAGGGATGAATTGGTGGGGAATGTAGTACTGGATGGCAGCTGAGGCATCAGTGACCACGAGTTGATTGAGTTCAGGATCCTGAGGAAAGGAAAGATGGAGAGCAACAGAGTAAGGACCCCGGACTTCAGAAGAGCAGACTTCGATTCACTCAGGGAACTCATAGGCAGGATGAAGGGGAAAGGAGTCCAGGAGAGCTGGCTATACTTCAAAGAAGCCTTACTGAGAATGCAGGAACAAACCATCCTGATGTACACGAAGACTAGCAAATATGACAGAAGACCAACTTGGCTTAGCAGGGAACTCTTCAGTAAACTAAATCATAAAAAGGACGCTTATAAGAAGTGGAAACTTGGACAAATAACTAGGGAAGAATATAACAGCATTGCTCAGGCATGCAGGGATGAAGTCAAGAAGGCCAAAGGGCAACTGGAGTTGAAGAGTGGGTGTGAGAGTGTGGTGAGTGTGCATGTGGAGAGGTGTGGGTGTGGGTATGGCAGGGGTGGAAAGGTAGGAGTGTGTGTAGGGCCTGTGGTAGGGTCCGGGAGTGTGTGTGGATATGGCAGATGGTGTGGGAGTGTGTGTATGTGGGGTTATGATGGGGGGTGTGGGTCTGTGTTTGGGGGCTGTGGTAGGGTGTGGATGTGTGTTGGGGGTATGGTGGGAGGTGGGAAGCCAGCCCCGCCCATCCCATCCTGGCTGCAGCTCCCAGCTGCAAGGCCGGGATCCATACAGCACGGCAGAGGGCCAGCCTGGCTTGACACAACGTGGTTCCGGCTATTAGGCCGGGGACTGCACAGCATAGCATGAAGCCAGCCTACCACAGCTGTGGCACAGAGTTCTTGGCTGCAAGGCTGGGACCTACATAGAATGGCACGGGGCTAGCCTGGCCTGGAGCTTCCCCTCCATGCTGCGCCATGCGGGTCCTGGCCTTTCAGCAGGGAACTGTGCACCACAGCCAGGACAAGCCAGGTTGGGTTGGCTCAGCACCACACTGTATGGGTCCTGGCCTTGCAGCTGCAAACTGTGCAGCACAGCACGGAGCCAGCCCGGCCCTTCCTGTCCCATCCCATCCCATCCTGTCCCAGCAGCATGTGGCTCCCCGGTGCAAGGCAGGGATACACGCGGCATGGCAAGGAGCCAGGCTGGCCCGGCTTGTCCTGGCTGTGGCTTGGGGACTTGCAAGGCCAGGACCTGCATGGCGCAGCATGGAGCAGCCAGAACAGGCTGGCCCCATGCCGTGTCGCATGGCTCCCAGCATTGCAGCCGGGAACCATGCAGCACAGTTGGGACAGGATGGGCTGGGCTGGCTCCGTGTCGTGCAGCCCCTGGCCTCGCAACCGGAACCATGTTGTGCCAAGCTGGCCCCATGCTGCACACATGGGTCCTGGTCTTGCAGCTAGGAATTATGTGCTGCAGCCAGGACGAGACAGGCAGGGCTGCTCCCCACCTCCCACTATACTCCCAACAGACACCCACACCCTCCCACTGCCCCCACACACACACTCCCACCATAAACCCACACACACAGTTAGTAGCACCTGCCCTCCCTCCCCGCCCCCCATCCATACCTAAATTTCAACTTTCAGATGAGGGAGGACTTCAGAACAGCCACAGGGGTCCTAGGGCAGATGCCTCTGCTAGCCAGAAGCTTCTGGGGCGTGGGAGCGGAGTGGGGCGGGGCAGGTCAGGTTGGGGTTGGGTTAGCTGTGTTGCAACCAGAGCCCAAGCTGCTTAGTGTTGCAGCCGGTGGCTAATGCCACTGGCGTCTTGTCAGCTTTCAGACAGGTAGCCACTGGCAGGTAATAATTGTCTAAATTTTAGAGGGGCCCCGCGGGCCAGACAGAATAGCCTGGCATGCCAGATCCAACCCACGGGCTGTATTTTGCTTGCCCCTGGTATAAAGCATTGACTGTGGTAGGGTATATATTTATTCCCTAGAAGGGCAGTTATTTGTTTTTGCTTGTTTGCACTACTTCCTAAAAAGGAAGACTTCAGATGGTAATGTCTGCTTTTCTAATTATAAAGCAAATATAGGGGAAGCAGATCAATAGTGCCCATGACAGTCATATTGCTTTGATGCTAAGAGTAAAAAGGGAAAGAGCTTGCTCATTGGAAGTCAAAAAAATAGAACAGAGCATGCACTGACTGCAGAATTTCACAACATTTTTTGAAGGACAAAATAAAGAAAAATATAAATTATCTAGCAGCCATTTAGGCACACTACACATATCAGAGAATAGTTATGAAAGAAGGGGACACTGATAATAAATTAGACAAGGGATTAACAACTTACGGCCTAGAGAGCAATTTTATCTGGCACATGGCACCTGGATATTGACATTCCTCTCGTGATAGGTGGCTTGAGCAGTGATGGAGGGGTTGGGGTGGGGAATGGAATTCACACATGGTGGCAGCCAGTCAGCAGGGAAAAATGGCAGCAGCAGCAGTGTTATTTTGGCCTACCAGCCCCTAAAGGTCACTGACCTCTAAATTAGACTAAGGAACCAATTCTGCCTATGGGCTGAATAAAATGTGAGCTGTGTAGATTAAAACAAAAAAAAAAATTTGAAAGCAGTCTCACACAGATAGATTAAATAAATAAATAAAAGAACTATTTTCCATCCCAGTTATTTACTTACGGTCATGTCCTTCCCATGCAGTCTTTGTGTTTCTTGCACCATTATAGTCTCCAGAATTTTGTAATATAAGATTTCTGCCAGTTTTAGTCTGTTTACAGCAAAATCTGCAATTTAAACCAAACATGGCTGAATAACAAGAAAATACCTGATGTATTCTTAACCAGTAAGTAATCTTAAAAACACTGCATTGCTTTTGCTACCTTTAACAAGGCAACTAGTTATTTATGAGAATAAATATCTTTAGAAAAACAATTTTAGTTTTATCACTGAACTTTAGACCATAGACCTTATAAATGTGTCTTAACAGGAGTTATGATGAAGAGGCCTTTAGTCTTCTTTGAGGTTAGGAATGATGTATGGATAAAAGATATCAGAAAATGTTAAAAACGGATGAAAGTTTGTCTTAAAAAAATTAACCAGCCCGGATTGATCAATGATGAGCTAAGGGTAAGTTTTATATATTTCTATAAAATAAATTGCCCCTCCACTGAAAATTTCACCTAGGCAGCCATTACTCAGTATTTGAAAAATACGATTAATCTTTTTTCCATAAATACGCCAGCTTTGACAAGCCAGGGATTTTTGTGATATCTTTTACTGGACTGGCTGTATAGTTGGGTTGGTTCAATGAATGATATCACAAAAATAGTTTCCCCCCACCCTCATACATTTCCTGAACCATCATGGTTACATTACCATCCCAACTTTACTCTAGTTTGGATGAACAGACTATGCATTTCAACTATTTTTGTTTTAGTATTTTGAAACATTTCATCCATTTCACATACTCTTACCTATATGAGGCCCAGAATGGTCATCTGTTGACATAGTATAGCTCTGACAGAAAGCCTCACCTATTTCTTTTACTCTATTTACAATACTTTCCATAGGGTTACGCACACAAGACCTATAGAAGAACAAAGACAGAAAGAAAACTCTTTATTTGCATATTACAGATTGGAAAAATTCATGTAACCAAGCTTTTTTTTTGATAGACAATGTTCTGTACTTTCATCCATCTTTAAAAAAACAAAAAAAACAAACAAGTTTTACAAGCTAATCAGAAAAGAGAGAGTCTATGGATTCAACTGTTCTTACAAATCATATTTTGACCTGCTATCTGGCCTTACTTCATTCCATTCTGCACAGTGTTCTTGTGGTAATAACTAACCTGTTGTATAGAAAAGATGAACGTGTGTTCTGAACTAAGAATCAGTATTTTTAAAGCGTATATAAAGGGACTTGGAATTTTGATCTGATTGACTAACTTCATTATTTTTGTACGCAAGGAGTGCTATACAAAGACCACACACTCACACAATACAGTTTGTTCTCCAAAAATTTACCAGTTCCCCCATTTTAGGAGAGGCAAGGATTTTTTTGGGGTAACCTATTTTATTGAACCAACTGCATGATTGGGATTAAAGTTAAATAAGCTTTTGAATGCAAGGCATTCTTCATCAGGTTTTTTTGTTTGCTTGTTTTTATAAATGGGTAGAAATAGGACTGGCCTTTTAATTTGTAAATACTGAATACCTGACCTTTGTTTTCATATTACTTTAATAGAATTTATATTGCTATACAAAACTCAAGAGCATCTGCACAAAGAGGTTGTGGGAAGTGTTTTATTTTTTTAAATGTATTTTTAATTGCATCTCTCAACTACATACTGAGTGCATCTACCCGTGCAATTAATGCGCAGAAAGCTTGCTGCACAGTAAAATACTACTTAGTAAGTCTTCCCCAGCAGGACATCTACATGTGCTCCCATTGGGAGCAAATTTGCTCCCAAAGGGAGCAGTTCAGTGCAAGGCTACTCCAGCCCGGCTGTGCGCCCATACAGCAGCTAGACGGAGTTCCAGGCTCCCCCAGGTGTCAGCCCTGGGCTGGCAGGGGGCACCAGTGTCAGGCACTTGTCTCTGGGGAGTGAGGGAGGTTGTCTTGCCTCCAGGGCAGCTGCTTCCCAGCCTCATGCCCCCAAATGATTGGGGCATGGGGCTGGGAATCAGGAACTGCAGGAGGGCACATTTTTCCAGCCCCCTGCCCCAATCTGCCCATCAGGGCACAGGGCTGGGAAGCAGCTGCTTGGGGAAGGGACAGTTTTCTCACCCTCTGCTTTCTTGGCTGACTGGGAGCAATTTGCTCCCAATCAGCAGTCTACACATGCACTACTGTGCAATAGTTACTGTAGGGGTTAATCTACTTACAGGTATTTACAGGGACTGGCAAACCCACAGTAGACTAATGTACTGTGTAGTAAAATGATGTGCACATGTAGACAGTGATGCTTTACTGTGAAGTAGATTCATCTGCTGTACAATAAAGCATCTTGTGTAGACACACCCATTTAGAACCACAAGGGAATGAGGAAGGATAGGAGAAGCCTATTAAACAATAGAGGAAGAAACAGAATAAAAAATTGGAACAGTCTAGGCATACTAACTTCACATCTCTAATATCCATACAATATTAGCAAGAATTACATGGTAATCTTTTAGTGGACCAAAATAAAATGAGAATGTTCCTGTACAGCACTAGTGTGTATAGCCCATGGGCTGGATCTAGCCCACAGATGCGTCATCCAGCTCCTAGGGCTCCCCTGGGGTCTGACATCTGGCAGGCAAGCAGTGGAAGCAGTAATTGCCACAGCTCCTCCAAAGCAGTTCGTATAGATAGAAAATAAACTTCATTTATGCACAGGGGGAGTTGAGGATGAAAGTCTGGTCCCTCTGGGTCTATGCAAGTGTCTCTGTGGGTTGCTTTTTGATGTGGAGATCAGTCAGGATTACTTCACTGTTGGTGTCAGATGGCATGCAGGGAGGTTTTAGAAATCTTTCTTGTTGCTCAGCAGTGAAGTTTAAACAAAATAAAACAAAACTAACCAAAGTTTTAGGGTAACACAGATTGGTGAAGAAATATATAAAGAACAGGACGCAGAGCACCCTGGATTGCCTGGTGAACTACATATGACAAATTATGCAAGCAATAAGCTAGAAACAAGATACAAGTATGAGTTAACGCTGGCTGTGGTGAAACACATATAAATATAAAGGAATCAAGAATGCAGACTGAAAAACTATTCCAGGAAGTTATAACTCATAAAACAACTCGGGGGTTCTCGCAGATACTCAATGTGATACTTATGACCAATGGGGCTAGTGTGATCCAGAGTGTATAAGCAGGGAAATCTCCAGCAGGACTAGTAAGTTTATAATAGTTCTATATTTTGTACTAAAAAAATTTCTGCTGGTGTACTTTACCCAGCTCTGGTGACCACAATTTAAGCAGAAAGTTCAAAACGCTGGAGATGTTCAAGGAGAGCCATAAGAATAATTAAAGAATTAAAAAAGAGTCTAGGATATAAAAGAAAGGAAGACTTGGTCACAGTCTAAGTACCTACATGGGAAACAAACCTGTGCAGTCTAGCAAAGTTATAGTTTCCTTGGTAGGAAATTTCTATCAACCTAGGTTTTAAGAGACCAAAATTTTTACAATAATTACATTTATTTTTTCCTTTCAATTTACACTAAATGAAAGGAAGATGGATGTTATGATTAGATGAAGAGTCAAGAATATGACCCATTAGATCACCAAAAGAGATTGGATGTTTAAGCCATGTAATTTTCCAGAGAAACACATCAATTAAGAAATAAAAGGTTTACTTTCTTACAAATAAGGTCTTTAAATGACAACACCGCAAAGATTAATGTCTTTGCACCAACTACCTCCATAAAAACCTCTTTCAAGCAGAAAGAAACAGAGCAAGAATGTAGTAGCCTAACAAAACCAAGTATGAAGAGAGAGACCACATGTAGCTGTGGAGACAGGGGTTATACAATGTGCTTACTCAAATATAGCTGTAAGTTGTTCACTAGGAGTGTTTTTCAACCCAGCCACAATGCTCTGTAACCGGCTCACACTTTGTGTTGCTGAAGCAACAGGAGTGGTGACCACTTCCTTCTCTCTCAGGTATCTTCTTCCAGTTAGTGGAGTAGAAGGTGCAAATGATCTTTTCTGCCAGATGGAAGATAGAATTGGTTAGGAATCAACAACTCTTCTGTCCAAAAATGTTTTGGACCTTGAGTAACTGCCAAGTTACTCAAGGTCCTGCATTCATCATGAATTACAAAGAACATACCACCACTATCACTAATTACATTGTCCAATATGAGGCCACAACAGAGGCTGAGATTTAGAAACAAGTATGTTATAGAACACCGACTTGAAAATATTATAAACTAGGGATGTAAATTGCATTTAAAATATTTGTTTATCCTCCTCTAATTACATTGGTTGAACTATTAACCAATAACATAGTAGCTCAGGCACAGCTGCTGCTCCTGGGGGCTTTGACTGGAGGGAGTGGAGGAGGAGGCAAGCCCAAACAAACATCATAGCCCATGTGAAGCCCTGTGCTAGGTGGGAGAGAGCAATTGTGAACAGCAGCTAATTGCTTAATTCAAGGGTTTTCAACCTTTTTGAAGGAGTGTACCCCTTCTGGTGGGTATTCCACCTGGACTGTACCCTGTGGATGAGCAGGGGAGGGGGGTCCCCAGCAGCCAGTTCACAAGCAGGGGAGATGTCCCCCGGTGGCAAGCCAATGAGACAGCAGTGGAAAGTGGGCAGCAGCCATGGCAGCTTGCATCCCAAGTACCCCCACTTCTCCACACCACTGCTGTGTATCCCCTGGGGCCTTCCCAAGTACGCCCAGTTGACACCCCCTGGCTTAACTGATGAATCATTAGGCTGCTTGCTATTTTCCTCCTAGGCAGAGGTGGGCAAAATATGGCCCACTGGTCAGAACAGCCCACCAACTGATTTGATCCAACCCACAGGCAGGCACCAACTCACTGGATCTGGTCCATGGGCAGCTGGCAGCTCTGGCTGCTGCGTGGTACTGGATGGGCTGGTGGGACTGCTTCCGCCCAGCAGCATCAGGCATCAGCCCAGGTAGGGTTTCATAGTTTCTAGAGTTGGAAGGGACCTGAGCAGATCATCTAGTCTGACCCCCTGCCATGGCAGGAAATAGTACTGGGGTCAAACGACCCCCGCAAGATGTTCATCTAACCTTCTCTTAAAAACCCGCAGGGTAGGAGCCTGTACCACTTCTCTTGGAAGTTGGTTCCAGATCCTAGCCGCCCTGACCGTGAAGTAGCGCCTCCTGATATCTAGCCTAAACCTACCCTCTGCCAGCTTGTGACCGTTATTTCTGGTCACTCCTGGCAGTGCACGGGGCAATAGTGACTCCCCCAATGCCTGCTGATCCCCCCTGACCAGTTTATAACAGGCCATTAGATCCCCCCTCAGCCTTCTCTTTTGGAGGCTGAACAGGTTCAGGACGCGTAGCTTCTCCTCATAGGTCCTGCCCCGCTGTCGCCTGATCATGCGAGTGGCCCTCCTCTGGACCCTCTCCATGTTGTCCATATCCCTCTTGAAGTGTGGTGCCCAGAACTGGACGCAGTACTCCAACTGCGGCCTGACCAGTACCGCATAGAGGGGGAGGATCACCTCTTTGGACCTGCTCGAGATGCATCTGTGGATGCATGACAAGGTATGGTTGGCCTTCCTGACTGCCTCCCCACACTGCCGACCCATGTTCATCTTGGAGTCAATGATGACTCCAAGATCCTTTTCCGCCTCCGTGCTGACAAGAGGGGAGTTCCCTAACCTGTAGGTATGGTGCCGGTTGTTCCTCCCCAGGT